ACTCAACTGTTTAACTCTAGGGGAGTTGGAAAATTAGCCTATTTTCAAAAATAGTGGAGTGTTCCTTTAATGACTTCAACATCCACTAAACATTGTTCAACATGTATTAACTCAGCCAGAACAGAAAATACTTACATTGTTGCATTCTCCAAGGAAGTAAAGTGCAAATCCATCAGCTTTTGTTGCTGTGAAGAAAAAAAAAAATAAAACTCCTAAAAAGTGTCACAGACATCATGTGTTAGGCATGCACATTCAGAATGGTTCAATCCCAAATCATTAACTGGACAAAAATGCACCCATATATTCTGAATCTTTTTATGGCATTTGTAGGAAGAAAATAAATAGCAAAGCGCTAATACATACTGTATAACTAATGTTTTTAACAGATATAATGCCACTTGCATTTGAAGAAGATCCAATAACCCCAAAGGAACAAAAGAATGCAAATTAAAAATTAAAATCAAATAAATCTGTGGTGTTTGCACCAGGATCAGAAATTAACCAGGACTTGGAGACAGTGTTGTTCCAGTCCTCTAATCTGGGGTGCGTTTCCCAAAAGCATGGTTAGCTAACTATGGTCGTTAGTTCCATTGAACTCCATTGGTAACGACGGAACTTACAACCATAGTTGCTTTTGGGAAACGCACCCCTGATTGGTCAGGCTGTATTCTAATTAAGCCATATCACTAAATTCATAGAAATTATTTCAATTAATTGATTCAATTTATGAAATCATAAAACCAATTTATGACATAAATCGACAGAATACTGTATGTTTCAGTGTTATTTTAATATCATTGATACTATTATAGTTTTTATTCATATTTTGAATAAACGGGGGCCAGACTGAATCCCAGCGCTCTGCAGTGCTGCAGCATGCAGATGAATGGGAATGGGAAGAATGAGAAGTGGATGGGAAGTGACAGGCTGAGCGCTGCTCCATCAGTGTGCGGAGGAGAGAGACGGGGAACACCCGTACTTAGACCTTTTAACCTGGATTTACTACAGCTCCATCTGTACAGCTCTCTACAGGCAGCTACGCTCCTTTTATGTTTCAGCTGCACAACACTGCGCTGTTTATGTGGGCAGTGTGAATGCTCGTTATTATAGTTGCCTAATATACTAATACATTATGTTTATTGCAAGTATGCAAATACTGCAGTAAAGTGCATGGGTAATTTGGGCTCTGTGAGTGTTTGTGTGTGAAGACAGAAAGGCTCTCACCTGTTTTGATGATGTTGCACAGCTCATAGAGCAATAGTTTGTTGTCTCCTCCAGTGTCCAGCCGCTGCTCCATGTAGCTGTTGAGCTCATATACGACGCTCTGCATATTCGTGTCCTGGTACTGCTGGACACAAGAAAGACACACATAAACATGCACATGCACTGTATACTACACAATACGGACAGAAGTACACGGAGACCTCCTTCTAATTAGATAGTATTAAGGTTGCCTTTCACTATTATTATGAAAAAAAAATAGAAGTAATTAGAAGGGGTGTCCATATTTTAGGTCATATAGTGTATATACTGTACACTTCAAAAGCCTCTTATGTTCACTAATGCTGCATTTATTTGTACATAAAAACAGTAATATTGTGAAATGTTACTGTAATTTAAAATAACAATTTTCTATTGCAATATATTTTAAAATGTAATTTATTAATGTGATGAAAAGCTGAATTTTCAGCATCATTACTCCAGTCTTCAATGTCACATGATCCTTCAGAAATCATTCTGATATGCTGATTTGCTGCTCAAGAAAGATTTCTTAATGTTATCAATGTTGAAATGTAGTGGAAGTTAGGCATGCTTTTTTAAAAATAATTATTTGATGAATAGAACGCTCAAAAGAACAGCATTTATTTGAAATAGGCCATTATTGTAAAAAGGAAAAGTCTTTACTGTCACTTTTGATAAAGTATAATAACAATATCAATTTCTGGGAAAAAAAGATAAATAAATAATTAAATAAATAAAAATCTTACTGGCCCCAAACTTTTGAATGGTAGTGTAGTTATTTAATTTTTTTTGCTGAAAGTTGGACATTTTTGGATGGTCCACTGAATGAGGTACTTATATTTATTTATCCATCCACACAGGAGACTCAATTCACCAATAATATCAATAGAATTTAGTATTAAATAACAAAGCAGCATAAACAATACATAATGCCCACAAATACTGGGTAAAACAGTCCATTTAATTAGACTGAAAACAGTCTTGCTTCATCCTCTATTCTGGGTGGATGCATTATATAGGTGCATTATATTGGACTGCCTTAATTTTGGCTTTAGTTTAGGGACCAATTCTCACTATTAACTAGTTGCTTATTAAAATGCATATTACTAGCATATTGGCTGTTTTTTAGTACTTATAAAGCACATACTAATGCCTTATTCTGCATGAGCATATTTTAGATCCCTTAATCCTACCCCATACCTAAACTTAACAACTACCCTAATAACTATTAATAAGCAGCCAAATTAGTTAATAGTTAGTTAATAGTGAGAATTGGTCCCCAAACTAAAATGTGACCAAATTTTGCCAAAAGAAGAACACAGCCTAATCATAAACATCCAATTAACACAGAATTCTGTCGTTTTTCCTCTCACATTAAATGTGTGGTTTGTGTATATTACAGAAATTAGTGCTAAATCAAACTTTTATGTATTTTAAATGGAGAGTGGATGGAGGATGTCTATTTCTGTCCCTGTGTGAAAGGTCAGAGTGGGCCGGTGGATGAGGGGTGTGTGAGGTGCTCCCCCATGGGAACGGCTCCCTACACATCCTGTTTATGCAGACGAACATGTGACGTCCCTGCTGTCCTTCTCCAAAAAGTATTTGTTTCCACAGCCCACCCTCCCCGTCCTCTCGGACCCCATCCCTGCACATTGTCTCCATCGTGTTCTGCTGTATGTCTCTCTCTGCCGGCCCCGTTTAACTTCTTCATCTCTGTCCCCTAAAATCAGCAGGCCTAAGTGCTTGGAGCAGAGTGTGTGTTGGTGCTATATCAGCCGATTAAAGTGCCTATGATCTCATTAACAGGTCATTGCCTTTGCTCATATAAATCTGTCACAGGGTTTGTGTTCTCTATGTCATTTGTCATTTAACAGACACTTTCATATTTAGCAGCTTTATGTGTGTGTGTGTTGCTGAGAGATTATTAGCAGAAACTCTGCAATGAAATGTTCCATGAGTGCTTCTCCCCTGATAACTGTCCCCACTCGGGACATGCTGCCTTTTGGCATGAACGTTCACACTTTTGCTACACACTTTAATAAAGGGGTCACATATTACTTTTAAAAAATCCCCCCTGAGATCCACTTCATTTGTAACACTGATTTCTCACAATATGACTGCATTAAGGTTAAACATATAAAGCCTACTGTATCATATTTGATATGCACATTTCTAAGGCCTCTAAATTATCAACATGTTCAAAACTTTGCTGAAAAACCTGTTGTACACAATCTATTACATGCCTTCTCTTTTTTTTTTTTTTGCAAGTGAAAAGGCCATTTAAGATAATTCCTCTTCAAGATGTAGTTGAAATAATAATTTTGATATTGTTATGAATATTTCAAGATGAACACTTGGTGGACTAAAGCAGCTTATCTTTACTCGATTATCCAAACATAATTTTTTATATTTAAAAAATAAAATAAAATAAAAAGGTCACGTAAAAATGTGAGTATAAAATATGACACATCAGGCTTTTGGCTCTCTCAATCATCATTGTATTGCATTGCATTAAATGTAATAAAACTGAGCATTTAAATATCATCTTACTATACCATATCATTCGGAGATATAGAGTGACAACTGATATTTATATGCATTTTATGTAAGTAGACTTTTTTATGCAAGATCTCATTCATGTACATTACAAGCTATCAGAATTAGATTTTATTTTCGGCCATATAAATATCAGTAACTGCACCAAATTGCATATTTTTGCTCAGTTTGGGTCTCTGATTTTTTTTTTTTTTAAATCACTATATCATACCATATGGGCCATAAATCTTGATGCATGAAATATGACACGATCATTTATTTTTTTTAAACAATTATTTAATCTGTTAGGCTTTACAGGGTTAGACAAACACACAAAAACACTCACAAACAAAAGCGATGCCTCACTTACCCTGCTGACATCTTTAGCTGAAGATTCATCTGTTAAAATACAAAAGAAAACCGTGTCAAAACTGATGAAGGTGAGCATACTGTATATTGTAACACAGTGTCACTTTCATGGATGACTGGACAGAATGTCCCTGTATTTGCATAAAGCATGCTTTATTTTGATTTATTATATGTCCCATATTCGCCTTTTTTATTTTATTAATGTATGTCCTTTTTATGTTTTTCAAAACCCTGCTATATGGAATGGAACTCTATACAGAATTTTGGGCTAGTGAGAGCTGAACGGAACAGAATAAGAAGCGAAGCAACCAACAAAATGTTCTGTCACTTTCCAATAGTCACATTTGCAGCTGATTAAGACAAAAACAGTTTTTTTCCTGCCTGGATGGAACACGGTGTTAAGGGAACATTCAATAAGTGACTCATGCAGCCAAACTGACAATTTTCCACTTCAGTGATGAGTGTCCTTTATAAGCTATGCAAGCTTCAAAGTAAAAATCAAAGTAAGTTTTTATAAACTGATACCTAAGCCCTGACATGTACTTTAAATACAAGAATGTAAAAGATAGAATGGCTTACAAAATCTCCATCTACCTTCAAATACTGTTTAGAAAATAAAATTTATTAGTGGCTCCAAATATTGTTGTGGACAACGGAGGGCCTTGGAGTCAAAAAGGATGAGGACCACCGTTCTACGGTCTTGTGGACTTCATGGTGACAAGCACATGTAATTGTAAGTCCTCAATACCGCAAGTATACGTGAGATGTGCCATTTGGGACAGGGCCCAACTTTATTTCATACTTCCTTGTCCTTTAGCTTTTAGTGTGAATGGACATTTAGACTAGAGGACAGATCAGCAGTTCTAACTCTCATGAGCAGAACTATGCTGGGTGATGCGATAGCACTTTCTGACTGATGACACAGACAAACAAGAAGAAAGATGGTGGAGGAGGCACTGTTCCCCACATCAGATTGCTCGTATCAGCTCACCTAAATATGGTTGATATATTGCAGGCTCATATGGATCGATTTGCGGGTGGATAAAGGCAGCCATGCGTAGGACAGCAGCGCAGTGCCATTATAACGCATCTGATGGCGTCCTGCTGTGTCAAAGCTGCTGATCTTTTTTGATTCCCTCTCGACATTAGCAGGCACTATGCTTAAACAGCCATTCATATCATCTTGTAAATATGACACTGTGCACTTTCAGCACAATCCACGTCCCTTGCCGCTGGGCTCAGGAGAACACTGCGCGGCTGACTGCAGGCCTCCAAGAATAGCAGTGTCTCCTCCTGCTGTTGCTTCTCACAAATCAATTGTAATGACAATATGGCACAGTTCCTGGCTTTCTGTCTACTGCCTACACTGGCAGCGTTCTTTGAAGCGAATTAGAGCCACATGAACCAAACAGTGACTGATCTGGTACATTCCACATACTGTAGGCAGCAACTTACATGTCGGAAAACAAAAAATCCCTCATGACAACTCATTTCAAAAGTGTGTGCTGATGCTAATGACGCACTACTCTAAACTTAGCTTTAAAGTGTACACTGTAAAATGTTATTAGTTAAAAAAACCTGTAAACCTATTGCCTTAAAAAAAAAAAAACTAAGCAAAGTAAAAAACTATTTTTAGTTTCAACAACTGATTAATTTTAAGTTAAATATACTAGGTGTGTATTGCAAACAACTCATTTATTTAAGTTGAGCTAACTATTATATTATTTACTGCAACTTGGAATTTCTCACTTGTATTTAAAAATACCCTTTTGAAACCAAACATAAGCAAAGCATGCTGGGTTTTCTAGGGTTTTCTGAGTAACAAAGCATAGTACGCAAATAGTACAGATTACTAGATTTTTACATTTAAAATCAACAAATTGTTGTGCATTAAGAAAAGTCAACTAAAACGTGTTAGTTAGGACATTTGTTAGGTTTTAGAGTGTGCAGAAATATATTGGTAAAAATAACTATAATTATAAAATAATTTTTTAAAACTGATATTAGTAGTAGCCTACTTTTAATCAACATTAACACTCCAAATTAACATTTCTCACAAGTGCAACTGGGATTTTCTTATATCTGAAAGGTAGCTTTTGAAAGCAGACCTGTGATGTCTCAAAATGCGGTTACACTTTATTTCGACAGTCCATTTTAGACATTCCACAAACTATTTGAAAGTACACGTCAGCTAACTCCTATTCATTTGCAACTATACTGTGTGTCAACCAACTCTCATTAGAGTACTGGAAGACGGTTAGAGTAAATAGAACAAGTTGACATGTACTTGCAAATTTTCTTATAGTCAGCAGAATGTCTGACCACCAAAATAAAGTGTCAGCAGATATTAAGCAGACAGTCTACTAATACTCTAATTACTGCTAGTTGACATGTAGTTGCAAAGTTATTTATAGTCAAAAATAAATGTCTAAAGCGGACTATCAAAATAAAAGGCAAGCTAAAATGCTTCCAGCATAGAAAGATCACTACGTTTTAGAACAGAGACGTGTCTCTCTGCCCAGGTTCTGCTGGGAAGCTAAGGGAGGGCAGTATTCCACTTTGCGCCATGCACAGGTCACCTGTGCTCACGTCATACTCCCTCCATTTCTGGCATTCCCAGATGGAAATGTTTGGTAATCAATCCAGCTCTCTGTGGGTAAATATCAGCTCCAGATCATTTGTAAACTGAAATGAAAACTCGGCATGAAAGGTAAAACAGATATCAGGTGTTTGAACAGAAGAAAGCTGTTAGCATTCACATTTATCTCAATGAAAGCTACTTGGCTGGTGCATATAGCCCCTGAACTACACAACCCTGACGTTGGGCACACTGTTACGGAAACAACAGATAAAGAAAGGACAAAAAGGATAAAACAAAATAAAACAAAACAAAACACAAAGAAAAAACAAAAACAAAACAAAGCAAAACAAAACACAAAGAAAAAACAAAAACAAAACACAAAGAAAAAACAAAAACAAAACAGAACAAAACAGAAAACTAAATAAATAGGCACTGCTCTTGATTAATGGTGGATGTGGAGATGTTTGGGAAACCCATTTGGAAACAATTTACACAAACCATTTTGGTGTAGAAATTACGCACAATTTAACAATTTTTTTATTTTGTTTATTTATTTATATGATCAAGGATAATACACAGCAAATACATGAGTGTTAATTTCTTGGTGTTACTTGTGAGTGTTGAGATTTAGAGTAGTTGTAACTCCTCTGTATTAGACATAACACTGCTGGAGTAAATAGCATGAAAGTGTTGGTGTTGTTATTGGCAGTAGTGTTGTTCAGCTTTAATTAACATTTCACACTGCCACGCCCAAGCCACACCCGTTTTTCAACTTTGTTTTGCATGGACGGCCGCTATTTTTTCATAGCACAATTTCTCCGTAGAAGCAAGGTGAGTTATGTTTTATTACACAAATTTTTATAAGTTTGATAAACCTTAATAATAATAATAAATTAATAATTTATGCATTTAGCAGACACTTTTATCCAAAGCGACTTACAGTGCATTCAGGATATACATTTTTTACCAGTATGTAAATTACGTAAATAAGTATTTTTACCTTCATATATGTATAATGATTTTGCTAAGGTAATTTCAACAATGTTAGGTAATTCCTATGATTTTACTTCAGTTCGCTTATATGAGTAAAACATACAGGTTATTTTATTTACTTTTGTATTTAAACTTATTTTTTTCCTTCATACCTATCATTACTGCAGTTCGATGTAGCACTTAAAATGGCGCCATGAGACATTCACGTGTGTGTGTTTTCTTAACTTTTTAAAACATAGCATATAAATATTTGTATGGTCTCCTCAGAACCTTTCATTCCCATTGTCCAGTATAGGTTGCACAACTTTGCATACCACTTCAAAGCACTTACAAACAGGTTTTATTGTCAGGGACTTGATGGTAGTTAGAAAATTATAATGAAAGATTGGGAAAAAATTATGGGGAAACTAGTAACCACATTCTTCAGAATATCTTCTTTTGTGTTCAGCACACGAAAGAAGTTAATACGGGTTTGGAACAACTTGAGGGAGAGTAAATGATAGAATTTTAATTTTTGGGTGAATTAACATTACCCATTAAGTACATGGGTAAGAATTTTAATATAATTGATTTATTATGAATAGGGTCTGAGTTTAAAATTAAGGAAAAAGTATACTTTAAGACTTATGTTTAAAGTTTGTCTTCATCCTCAAACTATCCTTTAGTCTCTTGTTTACCAGCACGCCCACCGCAAGACTGAAAAACAGAAGAACAACTCCACAAACTGCAGACCAAGATTGCACTTGAAATTGTCACCTTATTTCCATATTTTGGAGGACCCATATTCTTAGAATGGATATGTCCGTAATTCTTTCAGATTAAATATTGATGCAAAATCTATTTGACAGTTTGACTTTTGGTTAATGTTTGGATATGTCTTCATGTTTAAATGTATAGTTTTTGTGTTTTTGCTATTTGTGTTTTTAGGAGCACTTCTATGATGCATCAAGTGACTCAAGGTAACTGGTTTGGCGTTTAAAGACTGTACAGAGAAGTACAGACTAGAACCTGGTGATGGTAAAATTTAACAGATTACAATCATATAATCATAGCTTTGTTGCTATTTGGCATTACCAGAGTTTCTGTGCTTCATAACATTCATTTTGAATTTGTCCAATCAAATTGCTTTGCAAAAGTACAGTTTTATTAAATGAGTTTTTATAAAATGAGTTGTCAAACCAGTTGTTTTCATAATTTGATGGGTAGATGTTTTATTGACCTTTATTTTTAGAATGAACAGGGTAGGACATCTCTGCCCCCAACATCACAAAGCCACAACAAGGGAGCAAAGATCAGCCTCCTTCAGGCAGCTGACTATTTAGTGAGATTTCTTAAGGTGCGTGTCTTAATTTCTTCTTAAAGAGTTAGCTCACCCTAAAGGAGTTGAATTAACACTGATGAACTTGCTGGGTAGTGTCATCAGGACCACTAGGCTAAAGACAGACTGAATGAATAG